GTCTTACCTTTTACTAAATAAATAGGAAAAAAAACAACACCTTCTGTCTAGCAAGTATGAAAGCTGGAATAGATTTTAGGAGTAAGAGGAAGCAAAAAAGAGAAAAAAAAAAGGACAAAAAGTTGAAAGTTGGTTGAACTTCTGAGCACAATGAACTTTTTCCTCATCAAAATGGTATTTCATTCAATTCAAATTATGTGTTTTACTTTTCTTTTTGACTGTTTCAAAAGGAGCTTTATTGAAAAGAAACTATGTTGCTTCTATGTGGTACTGTAATTCCTTAATAATACAAATCTTTGATATCAAGAATTAATAAAATTTAGACCAAACCATCCCTGAATGACTAAATACACCTGTGAGAAATACAGGAAAAGAATATTATTGACTTATTGTTGTTTACATTATTACATTGAGACCCTATTTATAGACCCTAGAATACAATCCTTTACCAAGTAGGATACTATTTAGTATTTCTATTTCTATTTCTATTCCTATTCCTATTCTAATAGGATTGTATAAACCTATTCATATTCTAACACTCCCCCTCAAGCTAGTGCATACAATTCATGTACCTAGCTTGTTACAAATGTAATTAACACGAGGACCAATGAGGGGCTTGGTGAGACATCTGCGAGTTGATCACTTGACTTCACAAAATTGACAATAAATTTCAATGTGCTTGATCTTCTCATGAAATACTGAATTTGATGCATAATGCCGATAAAACACAGAGTGATAAAATTACAGTGTTGGAACTTCCCAAACCAAACTTGCAAAGATTGTTTCAGACCATAGAGTGATGTACGTAATCAACATACAAGGCTACTAAACTCCCCCTGAGCAACAAAATTAGGTTGTGGAAATCCCAAACCAAACTTGCAAAGATTGTTTCAGACCATAGAGTGATGTACGTAATCAACATACAAGGCTACTAAACTCCCCCTGAGCAACAAAATTAGGTGGTTGCTCCATATAGACTTCTTTACAATGCAGCGGTCGTTGTAAGTGCTCAAAATCTAGTATAAATTATATGGATCATGTTCGAATCAATCGACAGTTGATAATAAACAAGTCACCGAAAAACTGCCCGAAACATGCTCATATGCCGGAGTATTAGATTTGATGGGTAAAAGTGGTCACAATCTAAGAAATAAAATTATATAGGTAGGGTCGGAATGATGTCACGACCCAACTAGAAAATAGAAATTATATAGGATAGTTCGAATTGATGGAACGACCCCATTGAAAAATAGAAATAATATGGGTAGGGTCGGAATGATGGCACGACCCTACTGAAAAAGAAAATTATACGGGTAGGTTGGAATGATGGCACAACCCTATGCAAATCAGATTTAAGGAGTCACCAGAAAGACGAATGGAACTATGCAAATCTAATCTGAGGAGTCACTGAAAAGACACATGATGCTATGCTACTCAGATATAATAAAATAGTTCGAAAAAATCCACGATACTACACAAATT